GGAATTCCTAAAACTACTGCACGGAGTTAATGAAGATAATTTTGAAAGATTTAGGCTTAGAGTTTTGCCATAAATTTAAAGGAAAAATTGGGAAAAATTTCAATGGAGTCAAATTCTCAGAAGGATTACAATCAAATTCTTAAAATTTGATAGGTTAAAGAATTTGATAGGATAAATAAAATAACAATATTCGTTCCCTCTTAGACTCCGGCTGTAAATCGGAACGAAACTATTGATATTTAGGGTCGATTGTTATGATTGGTCGATCAAGATTTAAAAACCTTTTCGACTGCTTTCGAAGAAGTAATTTCGTTTGACTAATCTTCGGGCATGAACACTCATTTGTTGCAGTTGTTTTGTATAATGTGGGGGCTAGGTGACCTTGTGGAAACCGTTTTGCATACTAAGCAGAAACTCGTGGGTTTATTCCAAGTTCCTTTACATTCCATTGCACAGTCGTTACAATGGATGTTGACTAATAAACCTCAAAAACTGTAAGGACGTGGTGCCGTTATGATCTTGATCCGAAGTTTGCACACCGAGAATGGAATTATAATCCCAAGCCCTATTCATTTGGATCTTTGTGCAAATTCGGTTAAATCTTCTCAATCACGAACAGCAACTACGAATTGTAAGGCTATTAATGCAAGAAGAGAAGACTTTTAAGTTTATGGGAGACATTTTCTTAAATTTCAGCTCAGGAAAATGCTCTAGAATGCGTTTTTAGAAACAGCAGTCGGTAGCTTATGCAAGATGTCAATTATTATATTGATTAGTTATATTGACGTCCTGCATAAACCACCGACTGCTGTTTCTAACACATAAAGGTGGGTTTGGCTCAGGATCACGAAAATTCTGAGTTTAACTATCCCAAAATGATGAGCATGAGCATGAGCATGATTGACCGCCCACGGTTGCTACTCTTTTATTGCCAGACCAGCTGTAATTACACAGAGAACCAATAGACGATGCTTGGGACTAGCAATCATCCTCAATGTGTAAAAACTGGTGATCTCAAACTATGCAATACCAGTGCCGGCCGCGCCCGAACACAGGTCAAGAAAAGAAGGGGTAGGAATGTGTTGACGTGACACTCGCTTTAATGGAAGCCGAGAACACCTCTGTACTTCCACGAGGAATCACTGGGATATTGGGGGTTTGCAGCAGGGTTCGTTTTGATAAACGATAAGCTGAATTGATGTCCTAACAATTATGAACCCACGGTCTGCTTCTCAGTTAGCAAAAACGTTTGCCACTAGGCAGACGAGCTCCTTTTTAATCATCGAGTTGCTGTTATTACCATGTAGTCATGTTAACAAATAAAACGATTGACGAATCTTGAATGTGGATGGGCTTCAGATTAGACTCATGATGTTCTGCTCAGTAAGTAAAAACGGTTGCTCTAAGGTCACCGAGCCCCTCATATCACATTATAGCGTGACACCAACGACAACGAAAAGTTTTACAAAATACACGATAAACAAGCGATCTTACCATACATTTAAAATATGAGTTTAACTATCCCAAAATGTTGCCGATAAACTTAAAAAGCTTCTCTACTTGCATTTATGGCCGTAGTTAATATTTGTGATTGACCAGATTCAACCAAATTTTCACAAAGACCCATAAGCCTAGCTACGTTCAATTGAATAATATAATTTGACGTGTCTGTCGATGGGGTTTGTCTCAAATCAGAGCAGAGCAGTTCCTCGCCAAATGATGAAACGATCAGCCAAATGACCTACTTTGATTTTCTGTTTGAGTTTGACTTAAAAAACCACCAAAAATTCTATGTTTTTAGGTGTAGTTTTTTTCCGAAATCTAATGAAAAACCTGATTTTCTTGGATTTTTTAATGAGGGGGTTAGAAGGAAAGGGGTGTAAGCGACTTTGATGGATTCTCTTCATCAACTTTCTCTTTTGATAGCCACAGCTTTATAAACAGATTTTCCGCTATTTCTACCACATAGTTTGATAAAAGAGGTTCTCATCTAGTATCCAGAATGGTACACGAATCAAGGAATGTGTTTGAAACTGAATTATTAACGAAAGAGATAGTCGATTAAGATAATCGATCAACTTCACTGACACCCCTTTCCTTCTAACTCCCTCATACCTTTTTTTTTAATATTATTAGAAAAATCAAATCGTTTGAAAAATATATTTCCGGGCGGAGATATCACCCTTAAAGTTCAAAGACTAATCCAGAAAACCCAATCTAAACTAATTCAGTTAAGTTGAATAAATTTTAAAGTATCCTGAGGAATTTTTTTTTTCTTTTGTTAATTACTTTATTTGTTCAGGCTCAATCGAATAAACTTTGTCCTGAAGACTTATAACTACCGGAAAACTGAAAAATCTGGGCTCAGTGTGAATTAACCAAAGGCAAATCTGAAAGATTCATATGCATAGTAAATTCAAGGAAAATTGCATTTACTCCACGGTATTGGCTACTGGTAGCTTCAATTCCAGAGATCATCAGGGAAATTGGGACTATTAAGTTAGCTTTAGATAATATATAATAATCATAAGATAAAATTCAGTTAACCTCCAGATGCTGAAGATAAGGATAGTCAACTTTAAGAGTAAGTCTATCATGCTAAGGGGCATATCAACAGGCCCGAAATCAAGTCTGATTGTTAGTCGAAATGACTAAAGTTACATACACACGATTCTTTTTTTGCACGGCCGTATTTTTCCTGCCACAGTCTGCTCTTTCTCTCACATCTACATTGAATTTAACTAGGTTCAAAGGACAGAAACAGCGGCGCCGGTGGTATAGTGATAAGCGTGAGGCATAATATCCCTGATCACGCATTCCTTCGGAAGGGAAGTAAAGCCGTTAGTCCCTGGTCCATGAGTTTGATGGGTCGATAGGTAGGGTCCAGGAGTGGAAGCTTGCCTTCCTGGCGTTGCTAGCATTGGTACTCGGTGAGGAAAACAAGATCGACGGAAAACAATTCAAGGAGGAAAGGACAGAAACAACTGAAAAAATATATGCTACCCACAAAACTTATAAAACTTGCCATTGAAGATTACTGAGACTGTTGTTAAAATGCGCGACATCCGTGAATCATGTTTCGTTCATTGGATATGTTGATGAAGACCACTTAACTTGCTTCAAAAGACACCAGGGTTGGTCGACGGGACTCACACCAATTGTGCTTAGTAGTCTGCCGGAATGATCTCTGATGCTCTACCAACCTACCCTTAAAATCCCCTTTGCACAAATGCACTGAAATTGTACTTGAAGTCCCTGGGCCCTCGCTATTCAAGTTCTTCAGGCAACTCCCAATGCTCATCGGGCCTAATAGAATTACAATTAACTCATTTCGACTCCTTCAAACTCATCATTGGGCCGTGTCGTTTTCCATTTTGGATTGCTTTCATTACGATCAGCTCAATGATTTTCTGGACCATGTCGGGAATCGAACCCATCGCTTCCGGCTTAGTAACAGCGTGTCTTAACTGGCTTGGTTAGCTGAGCCTTCATAGTTTTTTTTTTAACTATGAATTATCGATTCAGAATGCAGAAAAGAATCGTCGTTTAATGTTAAGAGATGCTCCAAAGCATCATTCTCATTCCGCTGTGTCAGTAATTGTCACTCATCGGTACCGGATACTACATTATATATAGTAACTATGTAGTTTTATGACTATTGTTGGCTTCTAAACCTAATGAAAATCATGATTAAACAACAAGCAATACCGACCAAAAACACCGTGAGGGTCTTGGGATCGGAATTTATCCTTTGAGCCGCACTTCCAACAAGTAAAGAAGGACTGGCGCAGTCGGTCTAACCTGATTAAAACCATCTCCCGCCCCCACCGATCCAACAATCGCGAAATCCGCTTCCGCGTAGCTCGAGCCATCATCCACAGTAGCCTGCTGTACGGTGTAGAGATTACATGCCTTGCCGCCGAGAAAGCCGTCCAGATTCTGGAACCGGTGTACAACGGCTACGTTGCATGCGTTGAAGCCGGTATCCTACCTTTTCGGCTCGTTTTCATCGCAGCTACTGCTACCAAAGCCGCTGCCTTTCTCGCTAAAACGTCGGGAAACAACAGGATCGTTCTCCTCGACGAGGCGAACCGACTCCTCCGCACGGCCGCCGACGTAGATCTCCCTCCAGTGGCCAGGGTTCACTGGCACGGAGACAAAAGTTGGCAATCGCACAAGAACAAAATTGTCAGCCGAATCAAGGACCGCTTCAGGGCAGGAGACAACTCTCTTTAATAAGGAACTCAACCGGCAATGGTGTTGTTATTTAATGTTCATGTGATATGATATATGATATGATATGTCACATGCTAGCTTTTGGCTAAATGTGACCAGCAATGAGCTTGTTAGATTTTGGCTCAAGGCAGATTCTGGCCACTGCCCCGAAACTTGTCCGAGTGTAACCAATAGGTTCAATAGCAGTCAATATGATCACCATTATGGAGCTAGTTTTTGCATTTTCTGAACGATTTACTGTTCGATAATCTATCATGAGATGAAAATGTGACGTAAATCTATTTAGCAAATTGTTCAGATAACAGATTTTTTATTAACCTCGGAAGGCTTACCACAATATAAAAAAAAATATTGCTAGATTTGTTGAATACGATACAAGCAAAGCTAAGAATGTGCACCTTGATGGATGTTTAACGTTCAATTTACTTTGATGCATTTTCGAAAAATACAAAAGCAGTTTTTTTCAACGCATCATTTCAGGTTGCAAAAAATTCGCGTCATTTTGTGTAAAATAGAAAAAAAGAATACAGAACTCCGGACGTCACTTTTAAATAGAAGCAGTGACATTTTTTCACTGTTTTCCCCGAAAATGTATTGCCTAAACATCACTTTGTCCTCATGCTTTAAAATAAAACTAACAATAATGGAGTGTTGTTGGCTGTCATGTATGATGCAGAACTCTGATATGGTTAAAAGTGAAAATTAACCTCATAGACAACCATGCGTCTGCACGAAACATTTGAACACTCTCCTCGCCTACTAACCTTTCCTAAATCCCATACTGACGCAGTACGAGACATCCTTGAACTGAATATCCACCGGTTCGCGGGCCGGCAAATTCTGGAACGGCCTAATGTGGTGCGCCTCGATGTCATTGTGCGACTGGAAGTGGCTGCTGTTGTTGTTGTTGTGATTGCCATTGCCATGCCCGGTATTATTCAACACTTGATCCAAATGCCTTGAATCCTTCCGGTTCAAGGGAACCGTCGTCGAGTTGTAAATCGGCGCATGCTGATCCGAACTGAGCGAAGACAGGGCTATACCACCCCGCACCTCCTGCTGTAGAATATCCATAGCTGTCTGTCTCTTCACCAACCGCTTTTGTCACGTACACTCTATCTCTCTTGAACTTTGTACCTTGGATTTAATGTCACTCTTTCTTTCCCTTGTCAACAAGAGTCGAGTTTCCTTGCGGATATCCCACACGATACTTCCAAATGAGTCACACAAACACTGCCAGTTGATCACACAAAGCCACTTTATTCCATCTTTTGCACAAAAAATTTACACACAAAACCAGTCAAGTACACCCGGTTCACTTTTCTTCCGAAGCCTAGAATCAACGCGAGCCCGGAAAAACCTGATTACACCACCGAAGGAAAAACCGTCCACTCTGACCGCCGTCCAGTGAACTAATGAAGACGGATTCCGCCGTCAGTTCTGAACGAAGATTAGCACAACTCTCCCTTGCTCTCTCATTCAGTGTTCAATTGTATACACAGTTTAAACTCAGTACATATATTTGCGCGCTATCAGAAGACAACGAACGGCAAACGATTGATTTCTTGAGCGATAAAGACACGCGATGACGACGACGACGACGACGACGACGGTGGCGACGGCGACGATGATGCGCACCCCGTGAATGTGTGTTGTTACAGTCGAGCAAGAGCGCAGTGCGGGACGCGATTGCGAGCAAATAATAAACCGATCTAACTCGTACCGGAGACAAAGAACAACTGACTGACCGCTGGGGAGTCGCAATGGAGACCTCCTTCGCTTCCAGTTTATACAGCACAGTGGCGATCCGAGACTTCTAAGTTGACTTTTGCTCATTCATCGATGTTGGTTGGTTCACTCGAATTGCGACGACGACGACGACCGACGGTTGCAGGCTCCTCGAGGGTTTGCGTGATTGGATGTGTTTACAATAATGGAGAGATGGTAAATTAATAATTAATAATCAAGTACTGATAGCGGCTTCCGAAGCAAACAAGTGGGATTTCGGGGGAGATGAACGACGATTGGTGAGAGCGGGAAATGCAGAAGAAAGATTGTTGGACATTGAATTGTAAGTGCTACTTGTTGGAAATTTTGTGATTGTGATTTGTCGGCATGTTGAAATTCATGCATTTACACAATGGTTTAAAAGTCTATTACAAAAACGCTCTTAATTATAGCACCATGAAAACGATGCAGTAGGTGACGTACTGAGCAAAGTTGATAGGCTTGACATTTTTCATCTTTTCCTAAAAGTTAGGTATAACATTTTGTCGAGATAGAGGGCTGATTCCTTTGGCAAAATTGAAGCAAAAATGAAAAATTTGTTTAAGCCATCAAAATCGTACTGCACTGATTTTGAGGTACAGAACTCTTTTTGCAAATGGATAGGGGTCAAGAAATTTGTTGAGTTACCGGACCCTTCCCAACACCGCTTAGGGGGGTATTGAAGATCACTGCCTTTTTATGGGGTGGGGATTCTAAGGTTCCTTCATGCCAATTGCACACACAACACAACACATTCGTCCATTCGCACACAACATTGCACATATATTTCCAGATAGTCCAACTCAACTTAACATTTATTCACATAGGTATTAACAATATTTACAGATCCAGTGCATTAAAACACATTAAAATCCATTGTGGCTCTACTCTATCCATCCTTCCTTGATAGTCAGAGCCGACTGTCCTATCCTAATAATCTGTCCTAATAATTGACGATCCCCTGCAAACTAGACGATCACTGATGTGACGTCATTGATCCCGATCTCCTATGATCGTTATCGCTACGTAGTATTCTCCTCTGTTATTGATTCCATATCCGTGGTAGTATCCGTACGAGAGTAGAGATGGTACGAGTCCGTGGAGTGAGCGTTGGAAAGAAAATACACGCTGGCGGCAGGGACGTAGTTAGGTTGAGGTTACTCCCAAACACAGTTTTTATAGCAAAATAAATTTATTTTTAATTGTTTATTATCTAAAAAGTTGTTTGTACTCCAAGGTACTATTCTCCCATGATTTTAATTGAAGGAGTTATTGATAAACTTTTCACATTTTTCCTCAGATTTTCGACGGGTGTATTTTCCCTAGGTTAGCTACATCTGAAAGTACTTCAAACGGGTTTTAAATGGTGGTAATTGTGTCTGTATGTTTGCTTTCAACTATAGCAGCAAGTAGAGTTTCCATTTCCCGTTGGTTTCCACCATCCCGGGATTCGATAAATATTTGAATAAAGATAGTAAATTGTTTGAATATTCGTATGTTTCTAATTTATTTTAACGATGTACTGAAATGTATGTGTCATCTCCTTCGAAGAATGGTTAAAAAAAGGAGATTTCTTCAATACTAGGAACACCAGATTTAAAGACATATCTTCATTTTGAAGACATTTATAATTCTATGAAGAAGACTTCCGATGGATTCTTTAGATATTAACCTGGCATATGAAGATTTTTGTTAAATAAATGAAGTTTTTGACTTCATATTTTAAGCTTCTTCCTGAATATGTAGAATGTGAATAATGTTACCAAAATCTTATATTTCAGAATAAAACTTGATCCAATTGAATATTCACAGGACTTCACTGAAATATTTGATTAGCTGGAGATCTTTTGAATACTTCCTGATCAACGTTCAGCTATGGGAGAATATCTTCACAATAATACTTGATCAACCTGAAGCCTTGAAAAGTATCCATAAGATTTTTTTGAAATCTTCGATCAGCTAGAGATCTTTTAAGTACTTCCTAACCGATCTGCCATCTTGATAGAGCCAATTGAATGTTTGACCATTTTATGATCTTCAGGTTTCCTGATCAACCTGAATTTACTAATATCTGACCAACCAGCAATCTTGACAGCATATCTAGAGACGTTATTTGAATTTTATGAACAGTTGAATATCTTAAAAATAATAATTGCTCAACCTGAAGTCTTAAAATATCCAGAGGTCTTTAAATCTCCGACCAGTTGTATATCCTTTAAATACTCTCTAATCTAACTTCCATCTTGGAAGGATGTCTAAAAGGCGACTGTTGATTTTTTGAATTCTTTCAGATCATCAGAACATTATTTTATTAAGTTGGAAAGTCTTGAATAATATCCAGCGATATCATTGCAAATCCATGAATATCAGTTATACGAGGATTCCTGTACTTTCAAGAAGTTTCTTAAACTCAGTTTCATGAACTCAAAGCCTATATAAAGCTCCTTGAATATGTACAATATTCTACGAAATCCTGGGATTTTCCGTCAACTTCTTCGAAAATGTCACATTCCCAGTTCACGAAAGATTTTTCCATAGTTTACATTTTTTAATTTTTCGATTGGTAGCACTGAATTTCTGCCCAGCTTGCTGAACTTGTACGAATTTCAAATAATTCATGCGATGTTCCGTAATCATTGTCCACGAAGTTGTTTAACATTCTACGAAGTATACTGAAGATCTATGATGGTCCCTGAAGTTTTACGAAGTTCCACGAACTTCTATGAAGTTCTCTGAATTCAAATGAATGTCTCTTGACATCTGAGAAATTTCCTAATGTGATGTGAGGTTTGTCAGCCAAATTTCACAATAGTTTGTGCAGATCATGATGATTATGGTGGATGATTTCTCTCATGAATATATTTGTAAAAACTATTTTTCCGTGCTTTAGGATTACATAGATTACATACTAACGGGTAAAGGTAATGCATATCTTTGTGCGTAATAAATGACAGCTATGGAGAGCTGTGGAAACCATGATAGAAGTCAGTGACATAAAGAAAATCCTCCAGAAGAAGTAAGAATTTTACAAATTCTTAAATAAAACAGCAAAAAAAGGTTATCTTCCCTTTAATTCCAATTAATTAATTTTGGTATCCATGACAGATACGTATTTCGACTATAAAGTTCAGTCTTCATCAGTGTCATTCCCATTAAAGCACTTATCAAAATCTAACCCCCTTAAGTACTCATCCCCTAGGTATAAAATGCAAGATCACAGTTATATGTCGCCGAAATGCGTATATGCCATTTTGGTATCCATTAATTAAGCGGAATTAAATTTTTTTTTATAAATTACTTTATTTGTACAGGCTCAATCGAATAAACTTTTACAGAGCCGAGTTAAAGTTTTCGTTATACATTATTACTGTCTTAAATTTAAAGTTAAAGGAACTGAACCGAGTACTCGTGGTTGTCTCGAGGTTAGTGGAGATTTACAATTTGGAAAAGGGAAGAAGGAGGTTTGAAATGTGGTTTACGATACAAATATTGAATTAATCCTAAAACATGAAATTATCTTGAAAACAAACATTGAAAAAAACCCCACACGTGCAAAATACAAACTAAACACACGGTTAATCAAACTTACAATCTAAGGTTAATATTCTTAAAGTAAACATATATCAGTTGCATAAGCTCCAGATCACGTCTAGCCAAAATATCCCGAACTGGAACATTAGGTTGTCTACCTCGAGCCCGAAGGGAATCATAAAAATGTGATCTGACTCCACGATACTCCGCACAAGACCAAAGGATGTGATCAGCGTCCTGGTAACCTTGTCCACATTCACAGAGATTGCTGTCTCCCAACCCCACACGGAACAAGTGAGCGTTTAGACAATAGTGATTGGACATAAGACGAGACATCACGCGTATGAAGTCTCGACCCAAGTCCAACCCTTTGAACCATGCAAACTTCGACACCTTAGGGCTAATTGAATGTAGCCATCGTCCCAAGCTCCCTTCACTCCAATAGAGAAAAAATCACTATAGGCGATTTGTCGATCATAAATGTCGCCTTCCATAGCGCCCACCTTCGCAAGTGAATCCGCCTTCTCATTGCCCGAAATTGAGCAATGCGAAGGGACCCACGCGAAGGTGATGATGAAAGAGCGCACGGATAAAGCACTAAGCAGTTCTCGTATTTTCAAGACAAAAAAAAAAACGAGAAGTGCTTTACCGGCCTAATGGAACGGATAGCCTCGACAGAACTGAGACTATCCGTAAAAATAAAGTAGAGGTCTGGAAGAAGTGAAGCAATAGTTTCCAAAGTGTAGTGAATTGCTGCCAGTTCAGCCACATACACAGAACAAGGAGCTTCAAGTTTTCGATAGGCGCTTTGAAATTCATTAAATACACCAAAACCAGCGGACTCCTCTATTAGAGATCCATCTGTGAAAAACGTTCTTGCATAATCAACATGGCCAAACTTTGCAGAGTATAATGACGGAGCAATCATAGGACGATGATGCTCTGGAATTCTGCGGATTTCCTGCGTCATAGATAAATCAAAATTCACTGAATTGCCGAAATCGGAGAAGACTACACGATTGGGAATATTTCTTGAAGGGCTGACATCCTGTGTTAAATATAGGTAGTACAAAGTCATAAAACATGTTTGAGGATTTAGCTCCAGAAGCTTCTCAAAGTTTTCGATCACCAGTGGGTTCATTACTTCGCAACGGGTGAGGAGCCTCAGAGATAACTCTGAAAAGCGGACGGATAGTGGCAACATGCCCGCCAGCACTTCGAGACTCGTAGTATTAGGCGAGTGCATGCATCCTAACGCGATACGAAGACAACGATACTGGATCCGTTCCAGCTTGATAATGTGCGTTTTAGCTGCCGACTGGAAACAAAAACTACCATATTCTAGAACCGATAAAATCGTTGTCCGGTACAACGTCAGAAGATCTTGTGGATGGGCTCCCCACCACGTTCCGGTAATTGATCGAAGGAAATTGATCCTTAGTTGGCATTTTCGTCTCAGATACTCAATGT